CACCACCTTCCCCCACACCTCCGCCCACTACCCAACCACCCTCATCACCCCTTCGACCGTCATTAAGACCAACAGAATCCAAAAATATACATATAAAATGAGATGGAATATATTCATCGTATCATATTGTCATTTCTTTTTTTGGGTTTCATGTGATTTTTAATATGTCAATATTCATATTAAAATCTGATTATTTGAATTCGCGTTTTGCAATTCCTATTTCTGCGAATGACACTCCCATCTAGATTTTTCATATACGAGACTAGAAAATGAATTTATTGGTTGCCTTTGTTTTTCTCTTTCCATTTTCTAGCGCCCAAAAAATAAATTTTATATTAGGTTTTTCTAAATATAGAAGAAAAATGTTATTGCAAGGCTTTTTAGAAAGTTATTTATTCGATTGTTTAAGGAAATTGCTTGCATAAACTATTTACAAGTTAGTTACCTGATTTCAAGAAGCCATCGCAACATATTTATGGAAGTTACTAATAAACTAGTTGTTTAATTGCAAATTCCTTAAAGTAAAAAATAGGATTTCGGAGCCTAAAGGGTATAAAATATTAACAAAAATTTTAAAACGGTATATAAATTTTTATATTAATCAAAATGGAAAAATCGCTGGAACAACAACGATTTCCTCCACTGGAAAAAACAAAATCCCTGCTACAGCAGCGATTTTGCAAAATGTGATTATTATTTTTTTAGGAAATCGCTAAATTAATTTTTTTTTAAAAAAAAATGGACAATCTCTCATCTGCATATAGAAAATAAAAATATTTTCAAAAAAAATCTATAATAAAATAAAGAATATGAAGAAGGTATTTTACTCACCAATGAAGCTAATGGTCGGTGATGAAAAAATATGAAGATTAACATTATATGAAATTGTGAAAATATATATAAAAGAGGTTAAAAAGTTAGAATTCTATTTGAACTCAAACGTCATTTAAATTTAAATTCAATATAATATCTCTTTTAGAAAGAAAATATTTTTGTTACCTTACTTATTCCTAATTTTTTTAAAACAATGCATATTTTCTTATAAGCTATATATTTGAATTTCAAAAAATTATTTATAATCAATAAAATTTATTTTTTATTTTCTAATAAAAAATAAATTAAAAAATCGCTGCCATTTTTTTTAAATCATTGCCTAGATAGCGATTTGAATTTTCTTTTTTAAAAAAATATGTATATTTTGCAAAATCGCTGCAGTAGCAGCGATTTTGCTTTTTCCGATGGAGGAAATCGATGTTGTTCCAGTGATTTTGCCATTTTTGTTAATATAAAATTTTATACACCATTTTAAAATTTTTGTTAATATTTTATACCCTTTAGACTCCAAACTCTAAAAAAAATGACAGAAGTAGTAGTATATCCACAAACCACAATTTTGAGTATTCATAGCAAATTGTGAATATGGTATTTTCCATTATGCATCAATTTGAGTATATACTTACCTTACAACTACATATATTTACATATATATATATATATATATATATATATATACGCGCTCTTTTTGTCCAATAAAAGTCGTGTAATATACTAAAAATAGGAAAAATCCTTTTGGTCAAAAAAATTGGCCATAATTTGACGAAAATGGTAAAATAACATATTCATACTGTAAACTAGATTCGTTTTTGACATTTTTACCCTTTTATTTTCATACTCTTAAATTAAAAACGGAAAAAAAAATACTAGTTTATTTATAAAATAAAAAAGGTACCCATTATAGACTTTATACATTTCTGACTAAAAAAATTTAATTTGGAAATCAAGAGTTCTGTGTGTATTTAATCCTTGGTATTAAATATTAATTATCATCTAACACATTTTTCAAATAATTACATTTAAAGTCAATAAAATAATATCGTAATATTACCAATAGGGTAATGCTAAATGACTAAAACACTTGGCTAGAAATTTTTAGAAAGTTTATGATATTTTTTCTGTTCAAAATCTTTTTTATTTTTTTTAGTTAAATTAAATGTTTGAAAATATTTTAAAAGGTAAAATACCATTCTTGCCAAAAAGATTTTTGGTTATCTATTTTATTTATTATTTCTTAAGCAGTGTGTCAAATTAATAATGGACAATTATTATTTCGAGAGTAAGTAATTACCCTAACGATTGGTTAATGTAAGTGAAAAAGCGAATGAAACTCTCTTTCCGCAAATCTAAGCATCCACACTGATGATTTGATTCCTTCCTTAATGCAATAATACTTTATGTTAAAAAGAATAAAATAAAATTAAAGTATACTCATTTGAACTATATATACAAGACAAATAACAAGAGTAGATACAGAAACAATATACACAAATAAATAAGGGAAAAAGAGAAAGAAGTAGAGATGTCTGATTGGGGGCCAGTATTGATAGCAGTGGTGTTATTTGTACTATTGAGTCCAGGTTTATTATTTCAATTGCCTGGTAGACACAAAATAGTTGAGTTTGGGAATATGCAAACTAGTGGACTCTCTGTACTTGTTCACACTGTCCTCTATTTTGCACTCATTACTGTCTTCCTTATTGCTATTGGAGTTCACATCCATACTGGCTAGCCTTTTATTCATGCAACTTCTTCTTTATTTATTTTTTTAATTGATGTACTTGTGTTTCTTTCTTATATTTTTGTTACAATATTCTATTTGGATATTCGAATTAAATCATGTTTGTTTTGGAATCTTTTTTTTTCTTGCTTGTATTGAATTGAATTTAAGAAATATTAGAATTATTGATCCGTTTAAAATGTTATGTAGGCTTAAATGAGCTAAAAGTCGGATCATATTCTAAATCACATAATTTTTACTAAGTTTTACAATTTTAATTTATTTTTTATAATTTATTAAAAAATATTCCCTTATTTATGCCTATAAAAATTATATCAAATTAAAGAACATATTTTATTTAAAAAATGATTAAATTTCTTATAAATCAATATGAGTTGCATATTCGCCCAGGGTGAAGTAAAAGCTCAAAATAAGTTTTATTTAATAAAATAAGCAGATTATTACCTCGGTCAAATATAAACGAGTTGGACGAAGGATTTGTACACCCTAATCTTCAAAAAATAGATAGAATATTATTGAAAAAAATCTGTAAATAAAATATAAGAGATGATTTTGTACAATAGCATTTTTCTAATTCAAATATACTCCCTTTGTTGAATGCCTTGAATCGGACCCGCTACAAACAGAAAGGACGGGGGTCTCGCTGACTGGTCAGCGAGTCGGGGGGTCCAGGGGGGCGACGCGCCCCCTGGCCTGGGGGTCCGGGGGGGCGGAGACGCCCCCGGCCCGACGGTATACAATGTTGTTGTATTGGACCCTTAATTTTCTGTCAATTCTGTATGTTGGGCCCAAGCCTGTTAGGGCGTAGCTTAGCACTATATATGTATAGACGCTATGGCAAACCCTATATAGTAATTCTGTTTTTGCCTCTCCATAATAAAACTGCTCCCTCTCTTCCCGTGGACGTAGCCAATTTATTGGTGAACCACGTAAATCTGTTGTCTTGTTTTTCGCGTTTATATATTTTCTCGTATTATCTCAAATTTCGCACAACACCCTTCCGTTCTATATTAGTTGATCATTATATTAAAAATAATTTTTCTATATTAGTCGATCAACTTATTTAATCTAAAGAAGCATTCTAAAGGTCCAAAGTTGGTAAGAGTTGAATTAGTAATTTTATCCTCTTATTTATAGTTCCTTAATATACAAATAAAAAAAAGGAAAATTATATATAATAGCAAATTAATAACTTAAAATAAATGGAGTAGCTAGGGTTTGATTTAATTGTGCTCCATAGCAA